ACTTTTGTTAGTTTATCTTCAATAAAAAAGCTACGTATATTCTTTTGTACCAAAAGAAATCATTGAAAGTCGATCTCTCGTTACGGGACACTTTTATCGAATTTCATTGACGAGTATCGGAGTTTCAAATTATACGGTAGCACGATAAAAATACTAAAATAAACGTTACTGAGAGTAAGAAAAAGGAAAGAAAGAGAGAGAGAGAAAGGGAATAGGAAGGCGGTAGATGCTTATTGAAAAATCTCGAGGAAAACATCAACGCCTTTTCTCGTTTTCTTCAAGAGTGAGCTTTTGTATYGAGCGAGCGAGCTTTTTACACCAGCTCTTGCCTCACTTTTCTATCCTTTTCTAAAGTTAGAAACTCTTGCGGGAAATCTCCGTTCGCGAATCTCTAATAATCCTTCTATTCGAAAAAGAATAACATGGTGAAGGAGAGAGTGAGAGAGAGAGAGAGAGAGAGAGAATAAAGAGTGACAAGGTAGGAAAATGCAAGAGATGAGAGCTTTTTCGTAACCTGAGAGAAAAATACGAGAAGTGGCAAGCAAAATCTCGCCACGATTTGCACCATCCGAACCCCAACTTTCCCACCTCTCGGGAGTAAAACGGAAGTTTGCGAATGTTGGACATTCGACCGGGTTTTGTCAAATCCCTATTGAGAAACTTTTATGGAAATCCGTTTGGCGATTCGTTGTCTTCGTGCTTTCCTGAATACTATTCCATGAATTTATGTGGAAAAGCTCCTATTCGAGCTCCGTTTGAAAAAAGAATATACTTTTTTCTAAACAAGAAACAAAATGTTTTCTAATACATTGGGTTTGATATTTATTGAGTCAGTATTTAAAAAGATTTTCTTTTTGGACATTCATAATGACGAAATTTTTAATAAGTAAAATAAAATACTACTATATATAGTAATATAAATCAACAGTAAACTGATTCAATCCATTGATCAATTATTTAAAATATCGACAATGCATATTGAAAAATAATATATAAAAAATATAACGAAAATTTGAAAAATTTAAATATTACTAATAAACTATTTTATCTTCTTACATTTTCCTTAATTTGGTAAACAAATTTTTTTCCCCTTTAGCTACCTTTCAGTAACAAAAATTTGAAAAATTTTGTTTTAACAAGAGAAAAGTATGAACGAAAAAAAGGAAGTTGTAGGACAATGAAAGATACTTCGAGCATCGACAAAGGAAAATGAGAAAAGCGACTAGTCCAAGAGGAATAAAGAAAAAAAATACTAAAAAAGCAAAGAGAAAAAAAGGAAAGAATGGACAGAGAGGGGAAGGAGAAGGGAATGGGGAACAGGGAGAAGTAAAGAGTTGGTGAAAACGTCGGCATTGTGTGTATTCTTTTTTACTGGGCTTTTCACCGATGCGCCACACCACCCGTATTGTGGGTATTCGATGCAAGAATCCGATGCGCAGCAGGTACTTTGTGAAGGGATCGAAAAAGCCATTCAAGACAATGGCACGGGGCCATGGTGCTCCAAGCAAGAACTCATTGACCGGAAATCGATCCAACCCTTTCCTCTTTTCTCTTCCTCCCTCCCTCCCTCTCATCATCAAGTGACATCGACACTCCCCCACTGTGTATTGAGTTTCAATGGTGCAATGCCGAACCGTCGATAACTTCTAACAAGGAAGATAAAAAGTAACGTTCTTTTTTATCCGCAATTTTAAAATTTTCTAATTTTCTTTCATTTTTTTTTTTTTTTTACTAATTAAGCTATACAATTGTTATCGGTGGTATTTAATTATAAGGTAGATTTACTTTGTTCATCAAATTTTATTTTATAAGAATAACGTTGATATATAATATTTAAATATTTAAAATCATTGCCTAGTGTAATTTTGACGTTAAAACATTTTCCAAGATGATAAAACATGAAAGAGAAAGAGAGAAAAAGAGAGAGAAAGAGAGAGAAAGAGAGAGAGAGAGAGAGAGAGAGAGAGAGAGAGAAGAGCTTTTATTTAATCACCTAGACGAAGCTGGAACTCCGTTTACCTGTTAATAGCAATGAAGAGGAAAAAACGGGTCTGTGTGCTTCAGCACGATAGCACGTTTTAACGAATCTTTTAAATTCATGTCTCGCGTTCAGCAGCTGTTTAAGCTCGCAAATTACATAGCCTTTCTTCTCTTGGTGGCCCTTTTAACCTTCCCTTTTCTCTTAACCTTAATAACTTGAGTTTGTATCGTAACTCCGTTAAATAACATCCTTGTACAAGTACTTGTTTTTACCGATCGTGTAATAACAAATTTACGTAAATTATCTTCCGCAATCTTCGTGATATTTAAATCTTAATCGATTCTATTGATTTAATCGATGTATTTTCTTTTGAAGGAAAAAAATCACATCAATCTTATTATAATAAGTAAAGAAAAGATAACTTTCTATGGCAAATTTTTTTTTAACACGTGGATTAATCAAACGAGAGATTGATAAGGATGAAAACAAAAGTACACCTACTTGCGCGTTACGTAAACACACACACACACACATACACACACTTACTTACTTACTTACTTACTTACAAACACACACACACAGCAAGGTTAAAAAAGAGAGAAACAAAAAAGAAAAATACTGTCGAGGGTCGATAACGTCTTTGAAGGGAAACGTTTTAAAATTCATCGCTCGTTTCTCAGACGTTTAAGCTCCGTCTCCCTTAACCAGCAAAGCAGCAACAGTCCTTTTTCCTTCTACAAACCCTTCTCCCTCTCTCTCTCTCTCTCTCTCTCTCTTTCTACCTCTCTCTTTCACTCGAGCGACGATATTCTTGGTGTCTGTATCGGCATATCAGTGCAAGACAGAGCCCCAAGGCGAAGGTAAACCCGATTAGACGGCACACTAAATCTCATTCAAGGCATAGCCGCCATTGTTAAACTGCTTCTCTCACTCTCTCTCTCTCTCTCTCTCTAGCTCTTTCCTTAAACTCCTTCAAGAAAGCGAGTTCCTAACCACGTTGGATTATCAAGCGGTCGTCCTACGGGAATCTCTCTTAGTGGTTTGGCACATCGTACGTGTAAGGTCGACCTTCCTTTTATATCTACTATACTCTCTCTCTCTCTCTCTCTCTCTCTCTCTTTCAACGAAGAGAGAATCAGCGAATAAGAGAGAGAAAGAATGAGAGAAATGGAAAGAGAAGAAGAATCGAAAACGATAAGGTAAGATGGATCGTTCGGACCGTTCGAGTGCCAACTCGCAATGCACTTCCTTTAGGCATGAGTACGCTACCGATAAATCCGTCATTTGCATAATCGAGAAAATTGTGGTTTGCCTTTTTCCAAACCCACCGTTGCCGAACCTCTTTCCTATGTCCATCCTCCCTACATTCTTTGCCATCTGCCAACGTCTTTTCAACTGTCAGAGAGGTACCCTGATATCGAAGGAAATGGATTATCTGACGATACCTGACTACGCTTATACTACCACTATATCGATATCGAACGATTATCGAGAAAGGATATCTTTAATTTTGTTATATAACCATACGTTTATAATATAAAATCTGGATAAATTATGCACGCCAATTTTAATGGTTTCATTTGTTAAATGTAATATTTATTATAGTGTGTTTTCTTTCTGTTAGATAAAATATAATTAATAATTGTGAAATTTGGTTTCTTTGAGATCTTTATCAAAGGTAACGTATATATTTAATATAAAAGGTTACTTATATCGTTTAACTTTGCTAACAAATTTCTATAGCTTGTATAGTATATTAATAATGTTTTTAATGAGAAAAGAAAAGAAAAGAAAAGAAGAGAAAAGAAAAGAAAAGAAAAGAAAAGAAAAGAAAAGAAAAGAAAANAGAAAAGAAAAGAAAAGAAAAGAAAAGAAAAGAAAAGAAAAGAAAAAAAAAAGAAAAGAAAATATTTTGAAATAAATGAAAGCAGAATGAGAAAGCAAAGTTAATTGTTGAAGAGTATAATACTAATAGTAAGAGATAATGGTATATAGATCGATTTATCACATTCAAAAAGGCGTCGTGCAAGTTTACCGGTTCCGGTAAATATTTTCGCAACCGACGATGTCGTCTCAACTAATCGCGAAAGCTTAACGAAGAAACGGAGCGTTTCGACGCGTATACCAGACGCTTTCGTTCTAGAATACTTGCCAACCATAACGTCATTAAACCACAACACCGGTAATAAGAACAGAGCGCTCGTACAAAGCACTGCAGATGGCAATGAAAAGACACGAAAGGAAAGAGGAGAAGAGAAGAGAAGAGAGAGAGAGAGAGAGGGAAAGAGGAGAAGAGAAGAGAAGAGAGAGAGAAGGAAAGAGGTTCTCAATTGTAATCCTAGTTAATACTAGACTCATCATTTCTATAAAATTGTCACTAACTGTTCGTTGCTTTTAAATTTTTAAGTGACGAACTTTTGATTTAGGTTTAAATATAAAATTTAATTAAATTAAATTAGTCAGTAATAGCAAATAATTAAATATCTAATTTTTTTTTTAATTAATCGTAATTAAAAAAAAAAAAAGGAAATATGCACAAGTGTTACGTAAATAAATTAAAAGTAATTTAAATAAGATTAAATATCCGCATATTTTCCAATGATCGTGAATAGATTAAATAAAATTTTTGTTTAATTTATTGTAAAATATTTATTTACTTCAAGTTTTTTTTTTTTAATTAACCTATGTAGCTAATCTAATTAGAATAATAAATTAATGTGCAAGGACTATAATTGACAATCGTGTATTATGTAGTAATAGGTATTAAGGACATGCAATTACAACACACCCACGTATACATTGTTAATTAATTTTCTACGAAATTACTCTTTCCTGTATGTTAAGCTCGCTTAATGAATAATGTTCGCGTCATGCAAGTAATACTTTTGAAAGGTAAAATAGAACATGCTCCAAGCAAGCAAAGCTCAATGAAAAAATCAAAGAAAATTTCTAAAGCTAAAAAAGCTGGTGTTTAATTAAGAAAAAAAAAATATTGAATAGAATTTTAACGAAAGCTCACCTGATCGCCGTCGTGTCCTTGCCAACTGTCGTGGCTCTGTAACAGAAAAGGAACAAAAAATAATTGTACTATGTAATTTCTTGATATCACTTTTACACATAGAAATTATTCAAAATGTTGAAAGTATCAAACCGAGAACGTACAAAACGTCATTCTAAATATTTAATAGGACGATACACCCAAGCTCGTTCCAGTTACAAGTCCAAACTGCTAATTATTCGCGCCCTCGTGACATGACCCGCGTTAATTATTAATAAACAGACTTCGCTAACAAAGAATATTACGCGACAGTTTAAACGTAAGCCTTGACAAGAGTTCGAGGGACTATCAAGTAGGTGTTAAATAATTGTTTCCACTTTCCAAATGGTGTCACGCACTTATCGTTAACTTGAAAATTTTTATGTTTTCTCAATTCTTCTTAAAACAATACGACTACTGCCTTAAACCAGATTCTTATTTTTATTCTGAAACAAAATTTCTTGTGAAAATAATAACAATAAAAAAGTTAATATTTTTAACACTAAACCTACCACACGCGATCTTGCAATTTATAAAAATCCTATAAATTAGTACTAAATGCGTTGGAGACGCGTAAAATGTACAATAATTCATTTCTATATGAAAGAAAATATTCTATTCACTATCTAATTTGCTAAAATCACATTCTACATTAAAATATATGTTTTTTTTTTTTTTAAAGTAGTCGTTTAATTGTTCACTATAGAAATAAATATACATGAAGGGTCGATATAGATTTAGTGTTAATCACAATGTTCATTTCAATGAACGTTTTTATCTTTTAAATTACGAAAAGAATTGCTTGTATCTAAAAGAATAAAAAAAAAAAATCATGTTCACATGATCAAAGTGAATTCAAAGTGATAACAGGTACTATTTGAACTGTGTTTTTTTTTCTTTTTAAGTCAAAGCAGAAAGGATGAGAGTTGGCAGCAAGAATCTCGAAGTTTCGTGTCATTCTCATTTGGCTGGCCAGCTCGAAAGACAATAGTCCTGGTACAATGGTGGCACGTCGAACACGTGCCATTGAAGTCTCGAAATAGCAGAAACTGCGGAGGAGGAGAACGACAGCTTCCAATATGTATGTATGTACTCAGTTCTCTAACACTAACACGTAGATATTCGCATAGCTATATAACACGATGATCATTCGCGGTTGACGACTATTACTCGCTAAAGTTATAGTTCAACGTTATAGCCCAAGAGTATTAGCTTGTAGACATTGTACAAACCTTAACGATTTTCAATGAGCGAGGTAAAGTAAAGAAACGAAAATTCGTATTTGCAAAAAGAAAAAGAAAAGAATTCTTTTACTTTAACTCTCTATATAATTTGCTAAATATTATTTATTTTATCGTTGTAATATTTATTAATATGTTGGTTAATTTGTATAAAATTTTATATATTAAAATATAGCGTTATAAAGTTTTATCTCGAAAAAATGTGATATTTTTGGAAAACATTATTTTTTAAAACCAGGCTATTTATTTTTCGTTATTAAGTAGAAACTGTAGTAGATGCTTTTTTTTATAAAATAAATAATAACCTACACTTTTATAATGGAAACATATACCATTTTACATAAAAAAAAATAGAAAGCTACTTTCGTTTTGAAATATTTTTCCATTTCGAGCCCGACGAAAAAAAAATTAGGTTATAGAAGGTTAACGACATCCTCATCCCTTATTCTTTCCAAGAATTTATTACAAATTCTGTTCGCGTAAGGAAATCTACATTTTTTTATAAGCTTCTAGTCTCTTATCTGGCTGAAAGTAGTGAAAAAAAAAAAAAACAAATAAAAAGAAAAAATCGTATATAGCGCAATTATTTTCAAAACACGATCTTTTCTTTTTTTTTTTTTTGTAAAGATACGAGAAAAGAAATTCGCGCGTAGTTTAATGTTTTATCGATTTTATCCCATACGCAAGTATATTATACATAGTATATACGGAGTATAAAATAAACGCGTTTCAGCGTTGGTTATGAAGGCTCATATTGGTGTCATAAATCTAACAAGGCGAGTCACTTTTACACACATTAATCCTACAAACGCCTATACTTTCAACTTTAACCGACACCGGTATCCGATAAAACACTCCTTCTTTGTGCGTTCTGTATTTTTCAGTAACCTTTCTCGATTTAATGAACCTCGTAGCCTCGATCTCTTTTTCCTTGAATTACAATCTTTACCAGATCTTAATCCAAATTTCTGATCTGAATATAAATAAGAAATAAAAAGAAGAGAAGAAAAGAAAAAAAAATGAAAACAAAAAGAAACAGATAGACATGGGGGAGTATAGAAACGTCATATTCATGGTGATAACAAAATATCGAAATATTATCGAAAGATCGGAAAATGAGAATTGAGAGAACGTGATTTTCATTAGATTTTTATCCAACGAGTACTATCACATCGAGGGATTTTAAAAGGACTATCGGTTGGTGTACGCGACATGAAAATTATCTTCGATTCCTCTATTCATCGAGGCTGGATATTTCTAGCTGGATAGTATCAAAATCCTATTACTAGAGTTGGATGTCGATTCTCGGTGGATTCCTAGAGAGAGAGGAAGAATAAAAAAAAACAAAAAAAGGAAGAAGGGAGAGAGAGAGAGAAAGCAAGATGTAATAATATCGATATCAATTTCACGTTGTCAATAATGAGAAAAGGAACATATATATATATATATATATATATAAAACATATTCCAGAAGTATGTAATCTTTTACTAGAATGTTCTTCAAAACAAGACGAAAACAGCATCGGCTGATGGAAATGATAATCTTTTAAGTATTGATGTTCGTTCGTGATCATCGTGTTAGTGAAATTATACGAGGGACGACAGGATACGATTCATCAATTTAATCACCCTCGGATCGGACGTTTTTCGTTTTATCGGTGAGATCCATCGAGAAGTCTCATAAAGTCTCCTTGTTATGTATATTAACAGATCGTTCGAATTTATCGATCGAACAATAAATGTTTCATCGAAGTATTGTAAATTACGTTTTCCTTTTTATTAAAGTTTAAGTTTGTACTTACGTGATTTTCGATCATATTAAATTGATTACATGAAATTGAGTAGATAATCGGATTGTATTATACATTTCCAAGGAAACAAATAATATTCGTGAAATAAATTGTAAAGAAAAACAAACAAATGTAGATAAAAAAAATGTATATATAATATATAAAAATTTAGTATTTGTTTTAATCATTATATAACATAAATTTCGTTTTATAACGAGATATCCCGTTTCTTCCAACAAAGTTATTGCCGTGATAGATAAATTTTTTGTTCACAACCCAAAGGGTATCATCTTCGTAGGTTTTTGTAACACGTGTCTCGTCCACAGAGACTTACATACTTCGCTCCTTATCTCTATTCTAGTCTCTCAGTTCACTTCCCCATCCCTTAGTTCTCTTCTTACTACCCCTCTGATATTCGTTATGAGGAGTAAGCTGGATTTATGAGCTTGTACGTCCCAAGAGCGCTCGATCGAGTCATCCACTCGTGTACGAGGATGAGCTTGTGTCAAATATATATTCCAGAAAAGAATCTTTTACAACGAATGAGCCTTCTAATGTTTCATCATATTACTTAACATATAATATAACCTACGCTAGCTGGATATGTATATAATACGAAAGTAATGTAATTATATTTTTATATATAATAAAATATATTAATTTGATTGGAAAGTTTTTATAACGGTACATCGAAATTTAATAAATTAATTTTAAAATTTTGGTGTCAATTTTCCGAACTATCTAATGTGACAATAAATATAAATCTAACGCTTCAATTTGTTTAATCGATGAATTTAATAGATTGATGAATAATCCAACGATGATATCATTCTTTATAACTACATTTGTTTCTAATTATTTAAATCAACATTTTAAAATATTTTTTTTGATCAGCATTTATAATAAGAATAGATTAACATCAAACGATTACTTTACAGTTACATATTAATATTTTATGATTCGAAATATTACCCAATGAATAATAATCAATATAAAATTAACCATTAAAACTTAAATTCATTTCTATATTCAATATGTCAACAATCAATACTATTTGAATAGCACAAACTCTAGAGACATTTGAACAATTAATTCTACTTAATATTACCAGATATAGATTTTCACGGTGATAGATTACCAACTATCAATTTACGAAGGAAATAACTGAGCTTTGGACGATTTAATACAGAGTATATCTTCCTCCTTGCCGCGTACGCCTTCAACCGCAAGCTAATCCTCTTAACCATTGAATCGTCGTAGTCTTAGAAGGACTCCCTAAGTCGAGTGAGTTTGGCTTCCTGCGAGCGTTCTTCCTTTCGTCCCTTAAAGTTTCACTTTGGCTTATAACGTACAATCTTCCTTCCTTCTCTCTTTCTCTTTTCTCTTTCTCTCTCTCTCTCTCTCTCTCTCTCTCTCTCTAACTATCTTTATCTCTTTCTCCTTTATTCATGATCAACGATCCTAAATGAATGCATTTCTCTATCTTTCCCATTCACTTATCCTCTCTTTATCTCACAGTCTGCTTTTGATACTCGTAAAATCACGATTTTCGTGGATCATTGCGAGCTAGCACGTGGCAATAAATAATATACGAGGTTCAGAGAGAGAAAGAGAGAGAGATTATGTAACACGTGGTATTTTCGAACGACCTTAACGTGTAGCATCGATTCCCCATTTCGGCGAGAATTTCACGTGCGGTTAAACATCGAACGAATTATTCATTAGGACTAAAATAATAGGTAAGTATTGCATGAGAGCGAATGGGAGATAGTAAAAAGGGGGAAGTCAACGTCTAAACGTCTTTTAGTAGGATTTATGAGAACATGCCTGAATTCCTTGATCCTGGTACGGCTCCTGTCACGAGTCCTGACACCGGGCTCCTTGTATGTTAGAAACGTCCTACGTGAACATACCAACCCTTCTCTTAAGCTTCCTTCTCATTCCCTCTCTCTTTCTCTTCTATATCAACCATTAAGGTGACTACTAA